TACATTTTGTCATATTCATCATATCAGATAATGTTTAAAAAGTATAAATATTATTGTTGTTATAAATTTTTAAATAAGTACGACTAGTTGAAACTGTGTCGTTGGTACTTTATAGCTTAGTAGTATGTTTATACAAAAAGGATAACAATCTATGCTTTTCTATTTTATATTTTGGATCGATAGTTAGTAATGTTAAGTATAGTTCGATAATATTCGTTACTGTGAATTAAGTAAGTATGTCATGAAGCATGCTTATAAATTTTACAGCGCAATAGTGAAAGGGAACATAATGGAAACTCGGACTTGACCTAAACGCAGCGAAGGGGGGGGGATATATCCGTTTAGGTGTCTAGTAATGTTTGGCTAAAATTGAAGTGTTTATGTATACATACCCAAGTGGCTAACTAACACCTAAGAATGTTATATTTGCCTGTTCAACGCTAATATTCGATAATATGATATAATACAATATAAGCGAGGGTAATAGTGAAATTGAATTTTATTAACTCGAGCGACTGTAATAGCCCGAGAACGACAGAAACTTTAGGCCAACTTGTTAACATTTATTTTAACATTGCTCTACTATTTCTGTACCACATATATGGAAAATAGAAGTCTGTCTGGATACGCGCGGGACAAAATTCGACAGGTGTCTCTTAGTTATGCAAAAAAGTAGTATCGTTAACTTAAATCATTAACGCTGTTATTTTTTGTGAATTGTGGACATCGCGAAATGTCTAAAGAAGCTGGTCTGCCATCTTACCGGTGGAACAAAACGCCTCTGTCACTTGAACAAGTATGACAAAAAAGGGAAGTATTGTGTGACTTAAATCATTAACTTTTTTGTGTTAATAGTTTATAGTATAGTATAGGTTTATAGTATAGGTAGATGTAAGAAAGCATAGTCTGTCAGTCTTCCAATGGAACAGGACAGATGCTGTCTGCCAGAAGTAGAGTGATCTATCCGAACAGACGAATGCATGGGCGCGCGGCGAACTCCAGCTCTACTCATCGGTAAGGCTGGTGCATGATCGCAAAAGATGGTCATTTTTGGAATATTAGTAAATACTAAGGGAGTAATAAACATCATGCTCTTTAGAATTCAGTCTTTTACGCATTCGATATCCAAATCCTTCTTATGCATGAATATTGTGGCAAAATAATACAGAAATATTCAGTACATATCAAAGATACATGCATAGACACGACCGTACATACAAAATGCGTTTTTCCAACACCTTATGAAGTAAATTTCATGTACAAGTAAATATACATGACAAAAAATTAGATTATTTGGCTAAGAGGAAGAAAATTTGCTGCGCTCTTGGCGTTCGTGGCTCGCGGGGCGCCCCTTCAGATCTCGGATGGCAGCATTTATCCAGCTAGAACACTGGCAAACTACGTTTTTCTTACAATTTATACTGTAACCTTATTGATACATCTGAAGTCAAATTACATATGTACTTTGTTTTTTTGACATGCTGGTTCAAGTGGCAAGCGTATTTTGTTTTGCAGCCAAGATGGCAGACCGGCTCTTTTTGAACAATTTATGATATCTATAATTCATAAAAGAATTTCAGGTTTGTATAATTTCGGTCAAAGATATTATTCTGAAGCGCCTCTCCCGAGCCTTGTCCCACCACTCGCTATGACAGACTCGCCAATGAGGAGAATCTACTACGAAAAACAGCTTTACAAAGTTAATGAAACGAGTCCGACCTTTTCCGAAATGTCTTAAGTATAAAAATACAAATAGCAACACCTTACAAAAATTAATACTTTGAAAAATATAACAAACAAAAAACATACTTGCGTACAGGGTGCATAAAAAGTAAGTATAAAGCCACCGTAGCGTGATTCTACACCTCTGGATCAGTAGAAATTTGTAGAAAAAAGTTCGTGGAACATCTATCTCGAGCATAATTTTCGAGATCAAATTTTATTTTATTGCATCGTACTCTAAATTTACTTTTTGGGGCTCGATAATTTTCGAGATGAATTTTTTGGAACCGTTATTTTTTTGAAACCATGTTGGAGAAACGTAGAACAACTTGAAACTAAAGAAAAAAAAATGCGGGATTTAGAAAGTGGGAGATTAAGTTCATACAAGCGAGTTTCGGTTTGTTGTTAACCCCTTGTCATACCATTTAACTCGGAGGAATCAAGGCTCAAACGTTGTGCCCGAATGGTTAGGAAAAGAGCCGAAGCGACGGAGACAGAATGTCGGAACTTGAAACATGAGATCGTGCGACTGATTGCGCAGATAGTCGCGGCCGTGTTTAGAAAAAAGACATCATTCGATACAATCATACTTGGCCCGAGATTGAGACTACAAGTGAGACTCGCGATATTCACGTTTGACATGAAATTAAACCGCGAGCCTAACTCGTGATATCGAGGTTTGGCTCAAAATTCTCATCACGACTCAGACTCGTAAAAGTATGGCAAGGGGTTGAGTAAGTAAGAAATACTCAGAGCAAACCTTGTTATTCGAATGCTGAGACGTTCCGTGTAAAACTCAATCCTTTGTCGAAAAAAATATCTGCATCCGCAAAAATATTGCATCCGCGTTAGCGTATTACTATTTATATTAGTGTTTTTAAACAGCTGCCGACCGTTATTGCTAATTATGCGCTTAGAGTAGTGCTGGCCAGAATGACAGCGTAGGTTGCAACGAGTAGGGATATGTCTGCTGTATTGCCCGCTAAGGAACTATGGAGGGGAAAAATTCGTTATTTCAACGACAGACCATTGTTTTAGCATTAATGTGTCGGGCAGAGATGCCGTGGTTTCCTGGAACACAAGCACACGGCTGGACGAACTCGACCGCGTACAGGAAGCGAGGTGCGTGGAAGCACTCACAGCAGTCCCTGCCATCCGAAACTAAACTATGTGCAGGCCTAGATCGAGCGTTGATTTGCTATTGACGATGATCGCCGATTATCACTAGCTATAAATGCCCGAGGACCGGTCTGAAACAAAGGATCGTTATCAGTCGCAAGAAAAGAGTTAGAGTCCGAGAAAATTCACCGTTGCTGTTTGAGATCGTTTTGCGATCAGAATACCATCGATACTGCCGCTGCCTAAAATCGTTCATTCGTCAGCATTCATTCGCAACTGGGTTTTATTCGAAATATAAGTCAAATCAATCATCTGTACGTATTCATCTTTTTGTAACATCAAGTTTCATTTAATGCCATGGGTTGTAAATTTAGCAAAATGTTCTTGTTGAATAACAAGGTTACTATTCAAAGTTGATAAAATCCTCGCACAGATCTCGGGACCCTTTTCGGGACAGAAGACTCCAATCTACTATATAGTCCACTACGTAAACTAAATATCTTGCGAAGATAAAGATTTCACGGAAGAACTTCTTTGTTGCCTTGATTTATCTGGACGAAGTACCAGCTCGAAAATATTTTGTGCTCTGAATGAATATTTTTAAGCATAGGGTTAACTGTTTGTAGCAAATGTGTGGGAGTATGAAACGTTGTCCACCCACTATATAGTTCACCGACACTATTTAATTACAAAAAGCTTTCTTCCGAGCTGGACACTTTGACGAATGGCGCGGTGAAAATAATAAATAAAATTTGTAGTCGAGACTTGAACTCAAAGCTGTTTACGACGCTGTGTCACAGTATGGACTCGCAGCATCAGCATATTCTTCTCTATGCGGAAGCGAAGTGGCTATCGAAACGAAAGGTTCTTTCGTGTTCTTTCGAACTGAGAGAAGAAGTAAAACAGTTTCGGAGAGAACGAAATTCCGCATTAATAAAAGCTTGCATATTGCATTTCAACGAACTTGATATTTTTCTTCAAGCATTTTGTACAAATATTTTTACACTGAGAAATAAGACGAATGCGTTCAAGAAGAAACTGGCTCCTTGGGATAGTCGTGTACAAGAAGAAGATATAGGAGTGTTTTCACCGTTGCAAGATCTTTCGACAGCTGTTAGACATCAGCCGGAAATTCATATTTGATATAATAATAAGCGAGCATTTAAGACCGTTCAAAATTTTGACTATTATTAATTATCATGAAAATGAGGATACTCATAAAGGAAGTAATGGATTAGCAACCCTTTCATGGGATATATTTATGAGAAAATTTTCTCGGCTTATAAAAACGAAAGAAAGAGACAGAATGGATGTCAATGCAGTATTTTGTTTTTCGGAACAGCACTCGAATTGCGGTTATCAAATATTCTTGCAAAGAAGTAACAGAAACTTTCGCAATAGTTCCGCTTTAATCAGATATTATTTTCTAAAAATTTCAATCCTGTTATATTCAATTTTAATTTTTAATTCTTTTATTAGTAGCTTTTTCACTGATCGGTTTCTAATTATTTTAGGAAATTTTCATTAAATATAATGCTTTGTAATACTTATTTAAATATAATGCTCAAGAACAAATAAACAAAGCACTATTATAAAATTACTGTTATATAATAACTTTATTATAATAAGAAGTTAAAAAATTTTAAATAAAGAATTTAAGATAGAAGTTATTACATATGTTGTGCTATAAATAACGTTTTTACTTCTGCTCTGTAATAATTACCCCTGAAATAATTCTCCTATTTTCGCTGGTTCGTATATACGAAAAGGTTGAAAAGCACCGATTTATATCACGTTGGTAGTTATGTATCTTTTCATCATTTGTACGAATTTTCCTGATAATTATTCGCCACGTATTTATTTTCAACTCATGGCTATTTTCCGTTATTGCTCGAAGTGCCTTTTTCGCAATTCGTGGGCATTTTTACGCGTTTATGACATTATTAAAACAAAATCTTAAACGCAATTATATTATTTTTTATTCTCATCTTATTTTATCTCGCAGGATCACCGATCGAATATTATTATTATATCTACTGTATGAAACATTTTCTTTCAAAAAACACCACAGTTCATATCTAGAAGTTTCGAATAAGAAACAAGATTGTGGTTTATTAACACGAAAGTATTGTTATATTTTCGTTTATGATTCGTTACAGAGTTCTCGTGCAAGGGTTCAAGGACAGACTATTGCCATCTCGTCCATATAAGGATAAAAGAAGGTTTGAAAGATTATAAAGTATAATCAAAAGTTTAAGATGGGCGAAAAACGAGGTACAAAGGCATTAGAATTTTGGTGTCGGCGAATAACCGAGGGTTATCCTGATGTAAACGTGCAGAATATGACAACTTCTTGGAGAGATGGCCTCGCTTTTTGTGCAATGATTCATCACTTCCGACCTGATCTCATGTAAGTAAAACCATAATTTATTAGCGTGAATGGTACATTCTAAGGGTTTATTAATCCTTTGCCAGTCCGATACATTTTTATGATATTATAATCATTTAGCCATTTGCGTTTGATAGCGTATAATTTCCATGATTTATTATTTTAATATTTATGATTTTAACCGATATAATAACATTGTTTAATACACTTTATAGTTTATAATTTTTCATAGTACGGTATCGTTTAAAACACAACATTCTGCGATATGCAGATCAGATTTACTTTTATACATTCACATCTCTTTTCATCTTTTTTTTTTATTAAAGGACTGTAGAATCCGTTTTCTCTTGGACCTAATATTAGGTCATCCCATAAGTTTGAAAATATATCAATATATAGGGCACCTAATGGTGATACAATTTTTGATTGAAATAAAATAATATGATATGATATATATGATAAGATTGTTTACATACCTTTCAGTTTCATGAAAAAATGTAATCCCCCTTTCGTTGTACAACTTCTTCCCATTTTTCTGGTAGGGCCATTATTCCGTCTCGATAAAAGTTCTCTTGTTTTTCTTTAAAATAATTTTCTAAGCTATTTTTGAGAATGTCAATATTTTCAAATTGTTTACCTAGTAAAAAGTGTCGTAATGCTCTGAGCAGGTGGTAATTAGATGGGGCAATGTCTGGGGAATATGGGGGCAATGTCTGGGGAACGTGGGGGATGTGGTAAAATTTCCCAATTAAATTCAGAGAATTTTTTTGTAACGCTTTTCGCGACATGCGGTCTAGCGTTGTCGTGATGGAAGATAACGTTGTTCCTATTCACTAAACCTGGTCGTTTTTCAGCTAGTGCTTCCCTTAATTTTTCTAACTGAATGCAATATTTGTCTGAATCAATGGTATCACCACTAGATAAAAGTACAAAATAGAGTATTCCTTTATAATCCCACCATACACACAAAAGAACTTTACGTGGATGTAATCCTGGTTTTGCACAGCGTTGAGGTGGCTGATTTCGTTGGGACCAGCTACGTTTCCGTTCAGGGTTTTCGTAAAGTATCCACTTTTCATCACCAGTTACCAGGCAAGTAATGACATGCACGCTGTCGTTCGTTCAAGACGGTTCCGTTCCGTAAGTTCATGGGGCACCCAAACGTTCAACTTTGACACCATTCCCATTTTTTTTAAACACCTATGAATCGTTGTCTTAGGTATTTTCAGAACATTTGACATCTCTTGAACTGTCAAACTTCGTGATTTTTCAACAAGATCCCGAATTTTATCTTCGTCTGTCTGAGGAGGACGCCCGGAGCGTTCCTCGTCTTCTAAACAGAAATTCCCAGCTCTAAAACGTTGGAACCACTTCCTACAGGTGCGAGATGAAAGCGTATTTTCTCCGCAAACAGCACATATGTTTTTCGTGGCAATTGTTACAGAACTTCCTTTCCGAAATTCATATTTATGACATGAGATGTCAAAAATGGATATGCATTTCACTCATGATTTTTTACTGTTAGAAGTCACTGTGTTCACTATATTACGATCTTATACCCACGAAAATCTGCTCTAGCCTGTTCTCGATCAGCTAAGCTCAAGTGCATTGGTACCTTATCGCCGTATGTTTATAAACCGACACATGAAACGTATACACAAAAGTCGGCACGAACTTATGGGATGACCTAATACATATACATGGATTTTTTCTTCCGTTTGTCTCGTCTCTCGTTTATATTATAGATTTAACCTTTTTATGTAAGTATGGACGATGTTGTGAAATGTTACAATAAGTAATATGTTTATAACAATATTTGGAATACGACAAATAAATTGTAATTTCGATTTTTTCAAAATAAATAATTCTTGTTTTCTATTTCTTTTACATCTATTACATCTGATACATAGATATTATAGAAAAGTTAAAGCGATGTAATAGGCAACATAAAGATGTAAAAACTGTTGTGTTTAGTGACTGTTCGAGTTGGCGTAAGCCATCCTGAATATCACACGTGTTTCCTACGGTATATGAGCTTGAAACCAGAGTTCTGCATAATTAACAAGCCGCTCTCGAACTTCTACACAAATTTAACCATATTTAAACTTTATCATATCGCTTCATAATTTCTGACTTTTCCTAAAATATGCATACAATATATTTTTCGGTATTTACTTTTAATTTGCTCTTTCATTTTCTGAGAAAAATTTGTACTCTACCTTGCCTACCGTGAGCGGTCATTTTAACCGCTCGACAAAATATTTTAGTTATTCTTAAAATAGATGCAATCAGTACAAAGAAAGGGCTATCTCAAGGTCAAATGACAAACAAAATCGGTAATAACAAATAATAACAGCTGTTACATCCGTAATCTTGTCATAAAACATCCATCCTTCGATCAAGATAGCCACCAGCTATCAAGACATATCAACTCTGGCCTGTAATAATCCTAAGGAACCGCCACAAAATTAGCATTTTTTACAGTCCATTGTTACAAACATTTCAAAAGTCGAGAAGTTTCTTAGGGTGCTTATTGCTTATTGCGATAAAAGACAGGAAAAGCTTTCTCAATTCCACCCTCGAGTAACTGTTGGTGGAGAACGGTCAATACTCATCAATATTTTCGTATAAATATCGCCGTCACAGTCCATATTCTTACTTGCTATTGTCCTTTCGACTAGAATATATCTCAGTTTGTTAGTCAATCAGTCGACATCTAAACTTGTTATCTGTAAAACTCAGACAGAGAGCATCTCAGAGCGTTTCGTGTAAAGTTGTTATAAGAGGAAAAGTAAAGCATATCAAATTTGACAATAATTTTGTGTTCCGTACATGGTATTATTCTGTGATAAATATCTACCTTAGAAATGTCGAGACTTTTAAAAAAAAAGTATGAAAAAGAATAACGGACATAGAAGACGACTGTGTTCAGTGTGCGATGAACAAGAAACTTCAGCAACTGAAAACGGCATGGAAACACGTGAAAAGCTATTTACAACCGAATCAGAGTTGAATATTATAAATAAGCGTCTACGTAAGGGCAAAAAGGAAAGAAATTATCGTTGATAGCAGAGAGCGAGACTGGGCCCGATGGAACAGTTTGGAAAGAAATAGATGCAAGTCCCAAACCTGGCAGGACATCAGTTCATAATATTTTTAGGGGTATGCTAAACGGCATATAATGAAAGGACAAGTGAAGACTGCATTTTATCTTATCATCGATCACCGTATAAGGGATCGAGTAATAAAATGTACGGAAGAAGAAGCATCTATAGCATTGGGGACTAAGATGGAGCTAGATGCAACAAAACTAGATGAATTTATTGTTCTGCTATATGCCCGCGGTGCATATTAGGCAAAAAATTTAGATGTCTCATATTTGTGGAATAAAATTTGGAGACCTGCACTTTTTTCAAAAACAATGAGCAGGAATGACTTTGCTGAAATTACGAGGTTTACACGATTTGATAAGAAGAGTGAAAGAAGCCAACATTTACGAACCAATAAATTTGCAATGGTATCTACTGTATGGGGTAATGGTATCTATTGTAATTTACAAAGAATTCACAAAATTGTTATAAACCTGGTGCATACATTACTTTTATATAAAGAATCGCGGGAAAAAACCATGCAATAAAACTATCAACAAGTTCAGATTCATTACTACAAAAAACTTATCAAGTAAAAAATTGTAAAGATTACAAAATTACGAAAATTTGTTTAAGATACTGGAAATATTTATGCGGCAAATGTACATTTGATAATAAGATAATTTGTAAAAAATGCAGCGAAGTTGAATAAGATATATCTCTGTATAAATAAAAGTGTAATTCTATTTAAGTCTATAATTGAAATTAAACAAAAGTAAAGGAGTTTTGGACGAAATTTTATGAAAGTTCATTATTTTATATACATTTAGTTATAAATTAACCATTATCTAAGTTAAATCATAAAAACTATTACTTTAATTACCGGTCATTTTAATCGCACACGGTTGGAATAGGTATACACGAAGTGCCGGTAGGTTTAATATTAAGAAAAGACGGGGATAATATCTTTGAACGTATGTGGCCACTTCTTCGTTCACCGCATTAATGAGAAATAGAAATTTATTTCTAAAACCTTTGATATCCATTGCATTTGATATATCTTAAACTACTTTGTTACGTAGCTTTTACCCGTATTAAGATTTTAGTTTTTGTATTCCTGCTTCATAGAACGGTGCCTCCTAAGATGGCGTCCAGCGTGAACATAACCTGGGGCACACTTTCATAGAAACATGGCCGTAAAATTTATGGGGTATGAATGGAAAGTGACGAAATTGTGTCACATCGTTTGAAACTTGAAAAGATATGTTTACTCTGAGTGCCACCTTACCTTAGGATTTAGCTGCACGTTTCGTCGCAGAAACTGGGCTCCTTAATAAGGGTAAAAATTACGTAGCAAAGTAGTTTAATACGCGTAGAATGCAATGGACGTCAAAGCATTTGAAAATAAATTTCTGCTTGTTTTTAGTAGCCAATCAGATTTTACTTTCTGGATACACCACGCACATATACAGACATATATATTCCTTTCTCAGGTACTTTCCGGACAGTTCTATAAAATACGGACAGAGATCTATCATTTTATCGATATTGTTATTTCTCTACCTACATATTAGATTTCCTTGGTCTTAAATCTGTCTCATCGACGAATAGGTATTTATTATACCCCATCTGAATTTTACAATTTCAGCTCCATCGAGCGTGTATTAAAGAATTTCGGTTCAATTTCGAACAACGACAATCGAAATACATCTACTCTCGTAATCTTATCTTCAGTGTACCACCCGTTCTAACAATAAACAAACCGAGTTTTGTCATTACTATTTAAAGTTTATGGACTGCCGAAATTATAATCGAACTTTTTGTATCGCAATTCAAGTTTGTAGAATTATTTAATATGATATAACTTACACGATAGCACTTGTCTTTTTAGAAAATTATTTGTAGCATCTTGTATTTAACTTCTTTTAAACGTCAAATACAATTTCGAAGATATTCGCATAATATAACAATTTTCCACTTTTTTAAAGGAGACATTTCCATTCTTAGATTCGTTTCATCGACAATGAGAAATGTACTTACGTAACATTGGATCTACTTAATATACATTTCTGCAACGTTACAAATTTTGATGAATTCCCGAGATATCGTACTTCCCTTATTAGTAAGTTACATCTCCGTGAAAGGTTTTAATCAATTAACAATTTTAGATAGTACAGTTTTGAACAATGCTTCGATTATACAGGGTGGTTGGTAACTGGTGTTACAAGCGGAAAGGGGGTGATTCTACGCGAAAAAAGAAGTCGAAAATATAGAATAAAAATTTTTCGTTTGAGGCTTTGTTTTCGAGAAAATCGACTTTGAATTTTCGCTCGGTACGCGTGCACTTTATCGCGTCTCGTTATAACGGATCTCACTGTAGATCGTTGTCTCGATGGAAAAATTTAACACAAAAAAAAAAAAATTTTATTCTATATTTTCGACTTCTTTTTTCGCGTAGAATCACCCCCTTTCCGCTTGTACCACCAGTTACCAACCACCCTGTATAGGTTTTTTCTATTAATATATGTAACTATTACAATTATTTGTTCTTGCCTTTTGCTATTTTGCTGTAAGAATGATTGAATTTTTGTATCAATGGAGTGTATTTAGAGCACCGTAACTGGCTGGACGTGAGCTTGTTTATACCATAAATATATACGGAATCGAGTGACAAAGGAAGTTTAGAATGCCCATGACGATCCGGTTATATACGATGTGGTTGATAGCAAGACATGTGTCAGGGGTGTATGATCTATCTAGTATTTAGTGCTCAATAATTTAAAGATACATTATGTATAAGTTTAGTTTCCCTTTTTCAATACTTATTAATTTTTTAAACATATTACAATTATTCACTACTATTCGTAGTATACTGTATACTGTATAGTATACTGTAGTGCTGTACAGGGTGTAACAGAACATGTAGGAGCCATTTCTCGAGCTGATTGTACATTTAAAAATAATGGGGAAAGTTCGTATAAACGTGTGCTTAGTCTTTGTATATGAGATATAATGAATTTATCGTGTACGCACCACCTGTTGCAAAAGGTTAAAATCCTAAAGTTCAAAATAGAATAACCATTTCAACAAATTCAGGAAAGATCAGCAGCCATTTAAGTGCAACTGAATCCATGGCAAGACGTTTATAGGCTTGACTTGACATGCAATTGAAATGCTTGAAATGGTCATCTTCAGCAGCTTCTATAAAGGCAATCAGATAATGCATAATCAAAACAGAAAATTCGTTATATCTCATAAAAGAAGGCAGACAGAGCATACGTTTGTATGAAATTTTTTCGTTGTTTTTACGTTTAATTAGCTTCCGAAGTGGGGCCCATGTGTTCTATAATATCCTGTGTATGAAATAATGCCCAAAATATATGTATTTATCATAAGCTTTTTTATCACTTGACCATTTTCCTAGATATTTTATTTGTTATTACCTAATTATTAACACTGAGATTGTAAAGTACTGAAATTGCGCTATGATAATGTTGCTGAACTTACGACAGCGATGTGCTGGAATAATCAATAAAAATAATCTATTCTTTATATTGGTTGCAGTGATTTTGACAGTTTAGACAAGAACGATATATATGGGAACAATGAACTGGCTTTTAGAATTGCAGAGCAACATCTTGGAATACCAGCACTTTTGGATGCAGAAGATATGGCTTCCTGTGCTGTACCTGATCGTTTATCGATCCTTACTTACCTTTCACAGTTCTATCAAACTTTCAGTGGTAAGTACGTACAAACAACGGCACATATATGCAATCACAGTTATACAAAATGAGGTATCTATACCAGCCTATCTAAATACTTGACTCGGTTGCACTGGGGAAGCAAACTTATTTGGTTTCAAGGGAGGTTTTTTAATAATTCCATTGTAAACAGAATGTTTAACTTTCCACAAGTTACAAATCTGTGATATTTTCTTAGTTAACGGTAAGTCCAGTATGGACGATAGAGACAAACGTTTACATTAAAAATTAGTTCAAGTATATTTTGTTCTCATCAACGGCACTGTTAAATATTTACAACCTTGACATTTATAAATAAATACTTTGGAAGCAGTATATTTTTTACATAATAATTAGAATATTTTTCGGAAAAAACGGATTCTACTGATTCTTTGAAATAAAATAATAATTAAAAAAGATAACAATTCTTTTTGCAGTCGATAACATGGATGACAATTCGTTTATAAAGTGAACGCTAAAACACTATCTGATACAAAATGTAACTATACAGGCTGTTCGGCTCTAGCTGTAATAAAGTTAAAGAGATGATTCTTAAAGGCAAAGTAATACGAAAATCAAGGATAAAAAATTGTGTTTTCGGCTTTGTTTGTAATTATCGTCAATTAAAAATCAGCTGAAATATCCCAGTGTGCGGGCAAACCTCCTTACGTGAGCGAAAGTAGGGCAGTTCCAAGCAGCGGGGATCACAGTGGTCCTCAAATGGAACGAAAAACGGGACAATAACAATGCGTTTCTGGACTTTGTATAAACATTGTTAACACGTGATGTTGTTTACTAATTATTTATGTAGGCGAAGGACTAGAAAAAATATATGTGCGATTTTTTTTCATAAAACGCATTTTTCATAAATCGCGCAGGATCGTTTACTTTTTCTTTGAGTTGTATGAGGCAAGCTAGCATCCATTTTTTGTTCCGTTTGAGAACCACTGTGTTCCCCGCTGCTTGGACTGCCCTACTTTCGTTCGCGTAAGGTTTGCTCGCACACAGATATTTCAACCGATTTTTAATTTATAATAATGAAAAACAAATCCGAAAACGCAATTTTTTATTCTTGATTTTCATATTATTTTCAAGAATCGCACCTTAAACATTTTTACACCTACAGTCGAACGCTCTATATATATACGTATTTATGTATATCAACGCGTGTATGGTTAAATGTTCTTTTTTTGAACGTTGTAGGTTCATCTCCAGCACGAATTCCAGCGAGTAGAACGACTGAAACCGTAGAGGAAAGAATCACACAAGTGTCTGAATCTCCGAAAGAAAAGGTACAGAAGCCTTTGTTGTACGAAACGTAGAAAATTATTGGATATTTTTTAAATTAATTCCGATTAGATTAAGAGTTTAGCTATAGGTTTACGAACTCATTTTTTCTTATATGTACAGTAATGAAGTACATTCGGAATTACTTTTACTAATGAATATACAAATATAGGGCATTTGTTATGAATATTATAGAACAAACTAATATATCAATTTTATCGATACGAAAATACTTTATCTAGGAAAAGGAAGATAGGTTTACATTTATAAAAATGACTGGAAATCTCATGAAAATTTTAAAACCTATCTCTGCTCTCTGTTTATGTTCTGCTGTGTAAAATAGTTTCGTATGTTATATGCAATATAATTATTGTAAAGTTCATTGCTAAAGAATTTCGCGAGCACTTGAAATGACATTTAAACAATTGTCTTATATCTTTTTTAAGTTAAGTATTATTTTATTACTCATGTTGTTAATTTAATAAATATTGATATTTCGTATTTAATTCTCAGTTTATTCGTATTAAGTTTAATTTATATTTTTAAAACATTACACGTATATTCGAAATTGTCTTAACGCTTGATGATTTTATACAGGAGCAAAAAGTTTCGTTATCGTATGCACGTTTCAAAATTTTATAACTGTAGTAAGTCTTTTACTTCTAACATTTTAACGAACAAATGTTAAGCAGTAGAACTCGAATACTACTCAAATAGTAGAACTTTATGATTTTGGTTTAACGCGTATGGTGTGTTACGCGACCAGCGCATCATAGTTTGCCGAAAGTCGTACGTCTACGGAAAATGTTTACCGTAACTTTGTTTAACGCCGATAGACGGTCATCGCGTCATCGCGTCATCGCGGTTCTACGTACGTACATTCATAAAGAAACGCTAGAACGCCCTTAAGGATTCAGAAGCGGGGTGCATCTTCACGGTCGTAATTAGTGCGATTAAGTGTTTTACTCTGACGTGTGCCATTTATGAATTTACAATTGTGAATCGTATGCTTAAATAGATTTGACTTTATGTAATTTTATGTTATTTTATGGAACGTTATGTGACTTTATGTGATCAAATTTGTGTTTGAAAATGTGCGTTTATTTGTAGTATTTAAATACCTTATGATTCTGGATTTTCTATACTTTTTGTCATTATATAAAGTTATATCCATGAGACTGAATACTGCAACGGATTTTACGATCAACAAATTATGAGAGATTCTTCGCTGTATGGAGTTACAAACATCTGACATCAAGATCATCGTGGATCCATTCGAATCGTGGACGAACACAAGAATAATCGACCGAAGAAGGAAGCATTAATTTGGGAGAAGCAGCGAATGGTACAGATGAATATCAGTTTGAGCATAATGAATTTAATCTCTATTCTGACTTATAGGGGGAAATAGAACTATTATGAGAAATAAAACTATAATGCAAATAGATAAAGAGAAAGAGAGACAGAGAAAGAAAGAAACACGATGAAGCACGAATTAGAATTGCTTCATAGTGAAAATGATATCTTATACAGAAAAACGCCCCTTCAAGCGCCAATTGGGAATATGCGGATTTAACGATAAGTATCAACGGTATTGCTGATTTATCGAAATGATTTTATGAAAATTCTGATTCATTCAAGGCATTAGAGAAACAAGTTCACCTCCCGAGTGAATGTACAATTAAGATAAAAATTCGATAAAAAATTAATCGAATATTCAAAGCTAAAAGGGAGAACAACGACAGAAGAATTATCAAGGAAATTGAAAAATATGTTTTATCAATGGGAAAGCAAACCTGCACTGAGAAAGACATGCGACTCGATACAAACGATATACAGAAATCTAATGGGGAGCAAATCCAATGGGAAGCAACATCAATCACGACAATTGTACATGTAAAGAAACTACTGATTAATCTCATAGGAAGATTAGATTTTAGTTAAAAGTATTTAAGCAAAAGAACGAATGTGACGCAGTGATGAAACGTTCGATGATTACAATCAGGAAAAAATTATTTTGTAGTACCACATCCCTGTAACCCCAGAAGACAAAGCAATCGATTATAGGATCAGATCAACTTACGAACCGAAGTACGGGTATAAAGCATTCATTCGAGAATAAACTCTTGAATTTAAATGATAAATCGATGAATTAACTGATAAATTCTTGAATTATTTAGAATAATCACAGAATAAACAACTTCTGATCCTTTTGTTCAAACACTATGGTCATAACTACATTTATCTGGAAGTTATTTTTCTGAGTTTGTTACTAAATAGAAGATCGAACAAAGCTCAAAGATGGTCTTTAGAATGTTCTATTCTAAAGATTATTTTTTTCTACAATAATAATTATATTTTTTTGTTATTTTGTCATCATCGGTCACTCAACCGAGTTAAGCGAAATTATGCATTTAAATGTTACTGTTGTCTCAAAGAGTGCAATTATACAAATAGAATTTTCATTATCTGAATACCTACTATCCGAACATTCTGTTATCCAAATGTATCTGCTGTCCATATCACATAATAATCTGAATATAGAATTTCTCCTGGTTTAAGTAAATTAAGTTGTAGTTCATAGCGCTACAATTTTGAAGAGCAATGATTTAGTCTTTTTTCGCCCAAGTCTTCGTGAATTAATTTAATCAGTTTAATACTAACATCATCGTCAAAAATATGATAGTGCAGAAACATGTCACTCAGTGTATTAAAACGGTTAGTGTTAGCCCTGCCGAATGCTAGTCAGATAAAGGTGCTTATTACCCTACCTACATGCGACGTGGTCTATGCGACATGATGTCGTATCATCAATCATACGTGCGAATTTCCTGCGTATTAATTAAGAAGATATCGGGCTCCTTATTGTCACCCGAAACTATGAATTAGCGAATTCGTTAGCTGAAACTATAACATTCTCGATTCTTAGAATTCGTTGTCAAGTTTGAACTCGTGGCTATCGGCTTGATATAGACCGATGCCTCTTAAGAAACATTGATGCTTGCCATTACCTCTATAAAACACGTAACGCTAACAAATATTTACCGAAGTTGAGAAAATTTATAAACAGGAAACTCAATAATACCATTATATTATTATACTATTATACCAGAAATTGCTGCTATGTTACCTAGAATAGCCGATCGTGAAAAATGCAATAACGATACAGAGTAACTTTGATCACATGAAAACGAAAGTCAAACAAATTTTAAATGCCAAACACAGACATCAAACCTTTCCGAGGTTAATGCAGGGTGTATCGGCTGAAGGAGGAGATCATTATCTAAAAATCTCCTTTTTTCTTCACGACATGAAAAATGTTTATGACACAATTTTTTAAATTCCGGTATCAATAGAGCAATATCCTAGGAGACATATTTTCGTAAGATTCCTTTAGTTCTTCATTTTCATTTAGTTTTTTTTAAAGGTCATTGGTATTTTTTATCCGGGAAACGTGCATTTTTTTCTATTGCATCTTGTAGCGGATGAAAAATGCATTCGAGTATGACTAAATCATGACCTTGAAAACTAAAAATGTGATGAACTTGCAAGACAATGCTAAGATAGTATGTAAACTTACTGCTTATGTTATAACTGTCTAAAGTGATATCCGGCGGCAGCTACAAATTTTCTCACACGAATAAGTATTGTTTTTGATGGAATATGAACACAAGTACTAATTATGCAATTCACCATGTTCTCTATTCTCTCTTTGGTTCATAAAGTTTACAGAAGAAATCTTGATTTCCAAATATATAAGAATTCTATAAGTTCGCGTAATAAAATTTTAGCTATCGTTATTTACTGTTTAACCTTTTTGGGGCTATTTTGACTGAGGACTATAAATTAAAAATTCTCAAATCGTTGAATTGGACATAATGGGACTGCTGCCATTGGACAGCTGGTCAATAACTTCGCCAGACCTGGATACATTAGATTTTTTCTTTGGAGAAAATTAATGGAAGAAATTTACCAACAGCAGCCTACCACTCCAGAGAACATGACGAATCGCATAATTAATGCTACTCTACCAGAAACAATAGAGTGCATCACAATCTGTAATTGTTCGTGTTAGAAAGTGTCACTGCCGACGAACTTCAGTTTTGGACATTTATAACATAAGCAATAAATTTACATATCACTCTGGCATAGCCTGACAAGTTCCAGCTCATGATGCAGACATAACAAACATACTTAAAGTATATTTTTGGTGAAGTTGCCGAATAGTTAATGCTTTATTGATTTCTATGCCTTAAAAATATCTTGTCAAGGTCATTATCCTGAATAATTTTTTCATATACGTATATAGGGTGATCGATTTTACTTTTCCAGTTATCCATAAAAGTATGTTTGGTATCATATGTCTGCGTATTTTCTTTCTATGTTTTATAAAGTTAATATTATAAAAAAATAAATAATAAATATATTTTATAAAATTGCTCAAATCATATCTGATGTTGATGTCATCGCATCATTATCGATATTCTTATGTAACACTTCTTCAAATTTGTCTATTTCTTCAAAAAATACATCAATTCATTTACAAATTCATTTACACTGCCACCACTTCAATAGCCTCTTAACCCTATATTCTGCTTTTCATTTGAAATTCAAGGACTATTTGTTATTTTTTCCATCCTTATGTATCATCATGGCATACTTTTGTATCTAAGTCGAAAGCTAAAGTCGACCACTTCATATATGCTTAGGAAGAAGTTCAGAATGATGTCCTTGATAACATATTTAAAGGGCATTGAATTTGGTGAGGTGGTAACTATTCGGCAACTTGACTTTCGGTATTTTTCCATCCACTATAAGATGCAATAGAACAAAATCTACGCTTCCAGATAAAAAGTATCAATGGTTTTGAAAAAATGTTAATGACCCGATAAAGAAATTTGTCTTCTAGGGTATTCCACCATTGGAATCATTTAAATTGTGCCGTAAATATTTTTCAAGTCCTGAGGAACAAAGAAGATATTTAGGTGGCGCCGTCTTTCAGCTG